TGTCCGGCTCGGTGAGGCTGGGCGTTCTCCTTGGGTCTCTGTCCTCTTGAAGGGTTGTTTCGAGCGAGGGAGGCGGAGGGATCCAGAGGTTCCGTCTCCCGCAATATCGGGGAACTTGCCGGCGCTGGTATCCGGGTCTTTCAGGCGGCCCAGGTGACTTTGTGACTCGTCCGGTTTTTATGAAGTTCATGGCAGCAGAAATCTCACCTCAAAGATGCCTTAAAACAGTTCTTCCAGTTAGGAAGAAAACTATCAGAAAAGTCCTACTTTTGCAAACTTTAGAGTTTTGTTGTGAAGCTGGAATTGAGGCGCTTGGAAGCAGCGGGAAGCCTGGGAAGAGGCTGAATTCCTTTTCCATTCTCTTGAACGTGCCTTTGATTCACTGGGGAAAGGCACCTTTTTTGGTGGACGCTGAAGTTAGGAAGCGGTAGTTTGTCAGTTTTTCCTTTGTGTTTCCCCAAGATACAGATGCAATGAGAAATCCTATAGACCAGCCGACTTTCTGTTGCTTCTGAAAAGTTTCGGACTAGGAACGTCTTCATCATAAGGAGTTTTCTAGCTCTGGGTAATGGTTACTTTCTGTGTATAAGGTGCAGGCTTTTGTATTACCTCTTTGCAGTTTTGCCAACCTTTCTGTTAAGTACAGCGTCAATATTAAGTCCTGTGTACCAAAGGTTATCTTTTGAGTGCAATACGAGTTGTTACTGACAGCTGGGAGGTAGCGGAACACATAAGCAGGAAGCTAGTTATCTAGTGCAAATGAATGTTACTCACTGCTTCAGTTTAGGCTTGGTCAGTTAGACTTAACAAAACAGGAAGCTACTGTCTGTTCAACTTGATGATATTGTTAGTTTCGCTGTTCCGAACGGTGTTAAATCAGTACCAAATGTAAAAGTTTGAATAAGCTGGTTGAACTAACTTTTTGGGTTGGAAAAGGATAAGCTGTTTTTTGGGGGTTTGGATTTTTTTAAAAAAAATTTATATGTGATTTCTATTTCCCTTTTAAAGTGAAGAGGGTGATCAGAATAACTTCAGGATTTTGTCAGTTCTAACTGGAACATCCACTTGATATTATGGTCTTGCTTCCTGTCACAAACTTGTGCATGACGTTGTTGCTTAGCATTTTAGGGCTGCTTTGCTGTGTCCCAAAAGTAGGGAGATTTCAAGAACCAACAAAGCAATTGATATAATTCATGTTAACTTTACCGGGGCGGGGTAGGGGGGCCGGTAGTATTTTTCAAGTGGTTACTCACTGGAAGGCTGCTGAAAGTACAGCTGTTTAGAAGATTGTCTTTGGTGACTGAAGGTGGTGGGAGCTTTATAGAAAGAGGAGAAAAGTTTGACACATGTCTTGGTAATTATCACCGAGAAAAGCAAGTACTGTTGTTGCATACTGCCTGGGAAGAAGTGAATCTTAAAATACAAAGGTAAACTGAGGTGATTTACCTTGAAAAAAAGTCCACATACTAATTGTTATTGTCTGCTTCTCTTTCAGATTGAAGCAAGTGAATTCTGATATAACTCAACTTTGTTAGAGGGCTTTTTTAAAAAAAAAGTTGATCCACAGTGCATCAGAGCAAGTTACTACTTTACTTTTGAGTGACTTACAGGTGCTTGCCTGCATTGCAATAAAGGACTCATATATTGAGCAAGACTTATTTATCTCTTCATTTTGGAGAGTCTAATAAACTGTTATTACAGTTTCTGTACTGACTTTCAAAGTTTTGAAGTCTAAAAAGACATCTTTAAAAATAAAAACATGAGCACGGCCAGAACAGAGAACCCTGTTATAATGGGTCTATCCAGTCAGAATGGGCAGTTGAGAGGCCCTGTAAAACCCAGCGGGGGCCCCGGAGGTGGAGGCACACAGACTCAGCAACAGATGAACCAGCTGAAAAATACCAACACAATCAATAACGGCACTCAACAGCAAGCACAGAGTATGACCACCACTATTAAGTAAGTGTTTGTATAGGCTGCCGCAAAAGTGATGTTTAAAAGTCGCGTGTGGGAAAGTGTTCTTGGGTTCCTATGTTTAAAAAAGGTTTCTTGTGCTGTTTTATGTCACTGGCGGTTAGAAGGACATTGTGGTAAGAATGTTGTATTTCCATGTGTGAGCTTCTCTCTGACAGCGATCTCTGCAGTGTGTTCGTTGTGAAAATCAGAGGTGGCCCACCGAGCAGCAGTATCCTGTTATCTTTGCTCGTGGTGAGTGGTATGAGAGGGAAGTTGGGGAGTGGGAAGGAACTGAACTGAAATTTAAGGAAGAGGAGGAAACACCACCTAGTCTCTGTCCAGTTGTGTATGCTTTTCAGGTGTTTGTTGCAGTTCTTTCTCACGGTGAGAAATTCTTTATGGTCAGTTATCTTTTGTCATTGATGTTAAATAGTAGCGCTTGCTCTCCTTGGTGTAACGCTTTGGCTTTAACTCACCAAAGCCTGAGCTGAGATACTATGGTACTGCTGTGATACCCTCCGACCATCAAACTGGTTTTGGAAGTGTGCTAATAAAACACGAGTGTGCTGGTTGGAAATTCTGAAGGATGTGAAAGACTTGGATGTTACGGTAATGTGTTCCTTTTCTTTTTTTCCCCATGGTTCCTTCTCCCCTTGGACAACGTTCAGTTCTATTTTGTTACTTGATTATTTGCAAAGGAAGTACTAGCTGTCATCAGAGTGCACATAATGGAATACTCAGGTTCTTAAAGTTTGGCTATCTAGTTTCCCTTTTTTTTGTTTGTTTCTTTCTTTCAAAAAATGACATGAAACTGCTGAGTTTAACTCATCCAGATTCACTCATGGCTTCTTGAGATGGGGAAGAGAAGGACTTACTCTCCTCTGTGCAGTGGCTTTTGAGAGAGGATGGGTGTCTAAATCTCACTGAGAGCAAAAGACAACATTTGATCAACAAGTGGAGTGTGTGCTTACCTGATTTTAAAAGTGTGTTTTATTTTCTCACATTACTCGTGGATTAAGAAGGGATGTTCCCTGGGAAAGAGATTTTTTTTTTTTTTTCCTAAATGATGAAATATTCTCGTGTGGATTTATTATAGCCCATTTCTGTCATATGACTAAGTCCATGCTCGGTTTTAAATCTGTGTTCTACTGGATTGATTCAGTGCCCTAAAAATGGGACTTGAATCATGACGATAAAGATTTCACAAATTCTCTGTGCGCTTGGCAGACTGCTGATTTTTTCTGTTTACAGTTTCCTTCCTGTTGCATCCTGCTTAGCTCAGAGAAGACTTGAGCTCGTATGTGTAGGTGCTTTTAGCTTTCAGGAGGTGAAAATATTACGTGTTTATCACTGTGTCTAAGAAAATAAAAATGCAAAATGAAATTATTAAGCCTTTTTTTTTTTTTTTTTTTGTTATAGACCTGGTGATGACTGGAAGAAGACTTTAAAACTCCCTCCAAAGGATTTGAGAATCAAAACTTCGGTAAAGATGGTTGAATTGTAGGAATAAATATTAAATAAAAGGTGTGGAAGAAGCTGCACTGGCAAAGTATTTGTCCTAAGCGAAGATTCAAAACGGTCTGGCTCTTGCTGTTTTAACTGAAGAGTTAATTTGTTCTACAACTCCTTGGGAGAGATGTTTCTCTTGGAAAGCTCAAAACCTGAGTTTACCGTGGATTTTTTATTTTATTAGTGTTACAGCATGGGACTGATTGTCGGTGTCTCTGGCAAGGCAGATAGAAAGATGTCAGTGTGTGTTCACAGTACCGTGTGTGTTTATGAGAAAGCTCGCTTTTCCTTCTCTGCTGTGTGGTATTGCACAGATTAGTGGGAGCTCCTGTATGGTAAAGGAGTGCTCTTTGGGGCCCTCATGTGCGGTCAGTCTCTCATTGAGTCAGACCGATCTACAGCTGTGCGTTGTATGACCTAATCTTATGGATGTACTTTTTTTAATTATTCAGGACGTGACCTCCACAAAAGGAAACGAGTTTGAAGATTACTGTTTGAAACGGGAGTTGCTGATGGGAATTTTTGAAATGGGCTGGGAAAAACCATCTCCTATTCAGGTTGTTTACAAACAGACTACTTACAAGCATAGTTTAATTTTTATAAATTTATTTAAATTCTTATTCATACTTAGCTATTGGTTACTCATGATTTGGGAAAACTGGGGTTGTGAATGGCAGAACTTGGTGGCCCTTTAGGGAAGGCACGAATTTCTAACACCCGTCTAAATCACTGTGTTATGCAATGGGTGACTTAGAGATGGGACTGGGTTGCACTTTAGAGAAGTTAACTTGGATTTTCCTTTTCACTGGGGAGCTGTTAGCATGTTAATCCTCTGTTCGATAACATCCTTCACATAAGTAGTCCCAGGGAGAACGGGACTGTTCTGTAAATTTTCCAGAAAAGTGAATTACTGTATGCTGCATACCTTTAGTTTTTACAAAGATAACTATGGCTTTGTCACACAGTTGCTGCTTTTCTTGTCATAACCATCTGGAAGGAGCATAGCAGAGATTATGGAAGAGAGATTAACAAGTTAGCAAGTTTACCTTTCTGCCCCTCCATCTTGCTTTTACTTTTTAGGCTTGTTCTATTAATAACTGTTGATGTGTAAACTTCAGGGGGATGGGGAAGTTGAACTCTTTTAATTACTCTTTGGAGGATTATCATTGAGAAAGCTATGGCTTATAGGTAATTTGTCTGCTTTAAAACAGGTTCTAACCCGCTGCCTTTCCAAAAGGCTCTTTACTGATAGGTTTAACTCCTTCCTGTTACGAGTTAGCGACACTTGCAGTTGCAGGATATTCTGTTTGTGAAACAATCAGATTTCACGTGATACTGTTAGGGAGGAGAGTTAAATTTGGCCAGCCTCTTCAGCGAGCGTTGCTTACGATTGCTCATGTGCTGTCTGTCATTGCATTTCAGGAGGAGAGCATCCCCATTGCTTTATCTGGTAGGGATATCTTGGCTAGAGCGAAAAATGGAACAGGCAAGAGTGGAGCCTACCTCATTCCTTTACTTGAACGGCTAGACTTAAAGAAGGACAATATACAAGGTCAGTTGAGATGGGTCTCGCTTAGCTGCAGACAGGTAACGGTACTGGTCGCTACGCAGCAGACTTGAATCTAAAACTGGTCAATGATACTGAGCGGTGTAGGTTATCTGCTTGTACTTTCCCAGAAAGTTACCGGGGAGCGGTGGAGGGGAGGTGGAATTTTAAAAATCCCACGGTTGCTGTCTTTTGAATTTGAACTGGAAGACGTCTTTGGACTTTACTGTCTTGCCCTGGAAAGTGGATTTGGAGTAATAAGCGAGTATGCTGGCTGGGGGACTCGTGTGGGGGAATATCAGGGGATGGAGAACCCTCGCACGGAATTTGCCTTGTCATAAGCAGTTTCTGGGTCTTGTTCGGGATATCCAGAGCAGAAGTCCAACACCGTAGAAGTACAGCTTTCATAAAATCTCTGTCTCCTCTGTGATTAGTATTTAAGATATGAGCATGTTACTAGTATCTCACAGTGGTGCTTTGAACTTTCAGCAATGGTGATCGTTCCCACCCGCGAACTAGCCCTGCAGGTCAGTCAAATCTGTATCCAAGTCAGCAAACACATGGGAGGTGCCAAAGTGATGGCAACAACGGGAGGAACCAATTTGCGAGATGACATAATGAGGCTTGACGATACAGGTCAGAGCACTTGTGCTACACTAGACTTGCTGTTTGTTTGTGCTTTTACGATGCGGCATTGGAATTTCTGCTTGTAGTTATTGTTTGCCTGTTACAGAACAGACTACAATATGTCTTGTTTGCTGTTCCATGGTGTCATTATTCTCTCAAACTGTTCATATGAAACGCGACCGTGAATGCCGGAAACGGTTTTTTAGTCGCCTTAACCATTTTTTTTTTTGCTCTTCTAACCTTACAGTGCATGTGGTGATAGCTACCCCTGGGAGAATTCTCGATCTCATCAAGAAAGGAGTAGCAAAAGTTGAGCATGTCCAGATGATAGTATTGGATGAGGCAAGTTGCTCATGTAAACATTTTGGCTTTTTGACACCCCAGTTAAAGCAGAGATGCGTCTCGGCGAGTCTCCTCATTATGCACAGCGACATATCAAAACTTTGCTTAGAGATGTTCTCAGGTTATAGCTCGTGAGAAGGTATTTTGGCAGAAGAGTTTTTCTGCACGTGAATCTTTTAAGAATATGACCTAGGAAGATTTGGCTTTCCTGTGTTCTTTGCTATTCCTGAAAAATACGTTACCAGTCTATTCTGAAATGAAGGAATGCACTTCATTTGGTTTCAGTTTATAATGAGCAAGATGTGCTTGCTACACAACTGCGTGTAAAACTCATTTATGAACACCCCCTAGCATTGGTCTTCTGAGTGAAAGGTTGGGAAAATAATTGTGGAAAGCTCTCGGATGACTCTGACAGGAACCCCGATAACTGTTTTCAGGTTAACGTTCCATTTATTTTTCCTGAATTTGATTCTGTTTAAATCGAAGTGCTGAAAACCAGGAGAGGGTAAACTTCCTTTTACTGATTAATTCTGTCTCCAGCAGCTAAATAGCGCATCTTCTGGAGCGTGCTCTGTGCTTCAGAGGGGATGGTCCCATCATGAGGGCAGGGAGAATGCTCCTGGTGTGGTGGTTTTTCCCCACCCGTCGGTGTGGTACTAGCAGAAGACTGAAATCTTGCCCTATTAATTTAACTTGCTCTTTTACTTCTGTTATTACAGGCAGATAAGTTGCTGTCTCAAGATTTTGTTCAAATAATGGAAGACATTATTCTCACGCTACCTAAAAACAGACAGATTTTGCTCTACTCAGCCACTTTCCCTTTGAGTGTACAGAAGTTCATGGTGAGTGCAGATGTATTCACGTACGTGCGGTGGCGATAACGTCGGACATGAAGTGTGTGAATGAGTGGTGTGTAGCTGTGAGGGCTCATTTTTTTTTTTTTTAATGCATCCGGATTTCACTGGTTTAATCTAAATCAGCCTGAACCTAGCCAGAACTTTGAAAGTACTTTTTGACTCACGGTAGCATTAGTGGGAAAGCTGGGTACGCACAGTTCTTGCCCGTAAGGTACCGTTTTCCACTTGTACTTTAGTTACGTGCCACCTGAAGCGCTGATCCGCTTCCAGAGCATGCTCCTGTTTGGCCTGCTGGGTCACCTCAGATTTATAAGTCATCCTTTGTGAAATTTTACCCACCCTGTCTGTGTTGTGTGTGGCACGAAGAGCGAGTGGCTAGGTAGTGCATCCTTGCCATGGAGGAAGTTAAATGTGCCAGAGGGTGGGAAGTACTTACATGGTTTTGCGTGTAGATATGTCCGCTTTATCCTTACCTTTATTTTTCAGAATTCCCATTTGCAGAAACCCTATGAGATTAATCTGATGGAGGAGCTGACCCTGAAGGGAGTTACCCAGTACTATGCCTACGTAACCGAGCGTCAGAAAGTGCACTGCCTCAATACACTTTTTTCCAGGGTAAGCAGCAGGGCTGGGTCAAGAACATACAGAAGCTTTTTTCCTTTTGGAAACAAGAATAAGACTGAGGGTGGCAAAGATGGCTTAACAAGGCTTTTAGCTTATCAAAATGTGGTGTTTAGCTGAAGCTAAAAATGCATGCTGCTTGTCCGGCACCTTTGTGTTACAGAACTTGTTCATTATGTCCCCTCTTATACAAAAATATATACTGTGTAAATTGCCAGCAGAATACCTACTTTCTTTCTGTAAGGGATTTAGAGTTGTGTCTTGGATCACTTGTTAGTAAAATGCTGCAGTTACTGAGCACACTATTTATATGTTCAGCTCCAGATTAACCAGTCGATCATTTTCTGCAACTCTTCTCAACGGGTTGAATTGCTAGCCAAAAAGATCTCCCAGCTGGGCTATTCCTGCTTCTATATCCATGCTAAAATGAGGCAGGTGAGTATGAAGTATACAGCGTAGAGCAATACATGTTTCGGTTCTCAAAGAACACGCAGGTTTGAAGCAAGCACGAGACTTAATTCAGCTGTGCGGTAAAACTTGGGGTGGTGTGGAATAAACCACGGTAGACCGCTAATTCTGAATCAGTAGCGAAAAATACTCCATGCTGGAAAATGAAGTTACTGCTGGCTTCGGGTTTTAAGGGAACGAATAAAACATGCGTTGAACTTGGCAAGGGGCTGGGGGAGGATGATAGTCAAAATACCAGTTTAACTTCCTTGATGAGCGTTTCATGTAAGTAGTTGTAACTCAAGATACTCCTGTTCTGAGGTGGCTTTGATGCGACTGCACGAGGCTTTAAAACACAGTCGGTTAGAAGTGTCTTTATCTAAAAGTGGTACCAAGGGCCCCTCTAAGTTCTTTGGAACACGTGGGTAAGAAATGTGAAAAAATACGTACTAGCAGCTTTGTTTGACTCAACTGTTCTCTAATGACGAGGGGGAAGAATTCACCTGTTTGAAGTTCAGTGTTTGTAACTTGAATATACCTGAAAGTCAGGTCTGTTGGTTTTCTTCTGTTGTTGTTTTGGTTTTTTCCCTTTGTTTATATATTTGTATATTTCCAGGAGCACCGCAATCGTGTGTTCCATGATTTCCGAAATGGCTTATGCCGCAATCTTGTTTGCACTGGTAAGAGTTCCTAAACATTTTCCTCTTTCTAAAGGTTGTGATAGAAAGTGGACTAGCCATTAGCCCGGGTGTAATAGATCACTTGATTCGTAATAAAACAAAAGAATATGTTTTGGCGAGATGTTTTTGTCAAGCCTGCACGTGACACAGTGCAGCGCTCCTTTAGGCATGTAGATTTTTGTCTTCTGTGACAAACCCTGAAACGGCAACTTGCTAAAAAGTTACTTTGCTATGTTAGTATTTTCTGTACTAGTTTTGTTTTCTGGGTATTTTCCTGTGTGAGTGCTCTCTGAGTTGTTGGGCCATAAGCTTTATGAAATATCGGGAGAAGTGGGTCACCTGAGTAAGTTTTGCCAATTCTTTAAATGTTTGTAGCTCAGCTTTTCTAAGTATTTTTATAGTTTCAGTTTGCCTGTGTGTGATCCAAGTTCTTCGTTGTATGGCCTGTTTGGGCAGTACTGTGGCAGTGTCTGCGTATCGCTAAGTGCCTCTAGGTCATCCTAACAAAAATCACTAGAAGTGGAATAAAAATAGTTGAGCTAGTTGGATGTAGTTCAGATCTCAAGTCTGTTGGGACATGGGCAGCGCACAGTCACCTGTGAGGAGATGCTTGTGCAAGATGACTTGCTCGGAAGTGGTCTAACAGGGAAAAAACTGCCTTTGTGGTAATTACTTTTGCGGCGTAGATGTGCTGATTTGGTGTTTTGGTCATTCTTCCTGTGTTATTCATGTTTGTACTGGATAAAGAGCCAAGAAAAAGCTGTAACAGAACCGTGTGTAAACTGTCTGTGATACAAGGGGAGCTTATATCTGGAAGCTAGTGCAAGACAGTGGCCATCGTGGTTAATCTTTCCACCCTGAATACTGTCAGTGTTTGGTCTCATTGAAATTAACTTTCTTTGTGACCTGGATTGTCTTTCAGATCTGTTTACCCGAGGTATTGATATCCAAGCTGTGAATGTGGTGATAAACTTTGATTTCCCAAAGCTGGCAGAGACTTATCTCCATCGTATTGGCCGATCAGGTGAGAGGAAAATCCTCTTTCAGGTACAGTTCTGCTGATGACTGTGATGTTTCTTAGCCTTGAATTGCCTTGTGTTTTATTACTGTGTCTGAGAATTATTTTAGTTAGCTTTGATTTTTCTGACAAATTTATTTTTGAATGTAATCTCTGATGATTATCATCACAAGTATCTGAATAAAGGGCTGTTTTCTTGAAACCGGCCTGAATGCCCTAGTGAAAAAAAAAAAGCACATTTTGTTTTAATCTCAGGAGACTTACCGATGCTCCTGTTTGCAGTTTGGGAGAATTCTGCGCTGAAAACGTAGCGTAGTTTTATTCTGCGTCAGCGTAGTTTTATTCTGCGTGTGCTCCAAGGTATGTTTGTAATGTCTGGACATCAGCAAAATATGCCCTTAAGAAAGGCAGTAAACAAAGGAACTCTGTGTACTTGAACTTAGTAGTTCTGGTTTGTTCAAGAACTCTGTTATTGAAGAAGGGCTGGATGTGCATAATGCGGAAGACTTCTCGTTGGTAATAAACAAGGAGGTTTGGTTAGTGCATTTTGAATCTCCTGGGTTTTTTTATTCCTATGGCAATATTGAAGTCCTTACTGAAAACTGATGTGAAAGTTGTAGAGGCCTGTGGCAGGGTCTGGATTGGCTTTTATCATCTGAGAGCGATGCTCATGTTTTAAATGAGCCTTCTATTACTTGGTTCAGGCCTTTTTTTTTTTTTAAGGTCGCTTTGGTCATCTTGGCCTGGCCATCAACTTGATCACCTATGATGACCGATTCAACCTGAAAAGTATTGAGGAGCAGTTGGGAACTGAAATTAAACCCATACCAAGCAACATTGACAAGAGCCTGTATGTGGCAGAATACCACAGTGAACCCGTAGAAGATGAGAAACAGTAAGCATGTATGTAAATGCCTTCCTAAATAGAGAAGTTGTGTTGGGTGGACGAAGAGCTGGTGTGTTAATGTTACCACAGGGGAAGAGGGGAACTGATGTGCTGAAGAAGCTCTGAATGTGAAAACAAGGGTTTGAAGTAGACTATCGGGGCAAGGAGTTCTGTGGATGTGCTGAAGCTGGTAGGGGACGATGAGTGATTTTTAGTTGGTTTAATTGCAATACTGACCCATATGCTAAGGAGACCAAAAATGGGAGAAAAGGGAGAGCAGGGAATGGTGTTTGGAGAGGCCAGGAGGGCTACTAGTACCCTAAGGAATTTTTTCCATACTGCTTAGCTAAAATGAGAAATTGGTGAGGGGCAGAGAGGAAGGTGGTCCTCAGAAAGGCGAGCAGAGAAAATGGCTTTGAGAACAGAGCACCAACAGAAGAGCCGAAGCACCTCAAGTCCCCCAAGTCCCCCGAAGGAACAGGCATCTTTTAAAGGTGCTGCATCTTTTGCACCCTTTGGTTCCCGGAACTCTTGCGAGCAAACAAAGTAGGTAGCAAATCTGTAATTCCTCCTTGCTACCACGTGAGGGCACCTACCTCGCTTTAAAAGAAGAGGAGGTTTCGCAGTTGGAAACTCCCAAGTGTGCCTCTTCTGATCCCTGTCTGAGGAAAAAGGGCCAAGTCGAGTCCTTTTGTGAGAAGAGGACTCACCTTGGATTGCAGTCAAGCAAAATAGCTACAGGATGATGTTTGTTCTGGTTTTAGTTAAGATGCTATGTCGTGCGAGATCAGATACCGTACAGTTTGCTTGGAAATCGTTCTCTTGCCTACTTCCTCGGTATCGTGAATTAGAAAGGGAATTGCAGTGAAGCTGCTGAAATTCTTCTCGTGGGACAGAAGAAGAAGTGGCTGCAGAAGCAGACTGCTAGATAGTGTTACAACAAACCTGGGTCCCTTCTTTGAAATCATTTGAGGATAGCCCTAGCCAGTCACGCCAAGCTGACTTGCAGCCTCTGCTTTGCAGGCAGAGCGTTCTCCGTGTTTTATAAATAACTAAATAAACAGGTGATGAACTTGGGAAGGGCTGTTGGGTGGCTTCCTTAAGGGGAATGCTGTGACCTTGCCGGGAACTGTTTGCTGCTTCCTAGAGTACAAGAAACCAGTAGATAGTCGTGCTCTGTAGGTATAGTAAGGCGTTAGCAGCACCTCCTTCTATGAAGCTGTGGTTGAGGCTGAGCTGTTCCAAATGCCCTTTGATTTTCCAGAGCTGTTACATAGTGGGTGTGATTTATTGCTTACCTCTGGTTTTGCATAGAATTGGTTTAACTGTGGGTGTTGTGGTTGTTTTTTTGGTTTGTTTCTCTTTTCAGGCTTTGATTATACATGCCTGAAGGTGAAGCCCTTTGATCCAGATCTGTGACACATCGTTTCTTTGGGGATACCCTTCTCTTTGTGGGTTTTTCTTCATCTTTTCATTTTGGGACTACGAAGAATAAAGAGCTCAGCCTTTTTTTTGTTTTAAATTTGGCAGCAAGGAAGAAAGAAGATTAAAAGGAGAAATGTCTTTTTGTTTTTCCACTTGTTTGCACTGTGTGCTGATTGAACATTAGTTGCACTAACTGCTGGTTTTAAAATTTTTTTTTTTTCTTTGGGTGGGAGGGGCAGCAAGGGAAGAAGAGAAACCCTGAAAAGAGAAGAATGTTGATGAACACGAGCTTGTCTGCAATTTCAAATTCTTCAACCATTGACTGAGTGCATTTCAACTTCTCCCTGGTTACTCATCTGTTTTTAAGCTAAAGAGCTTGTTACTTATTCGTGCAAAGTGCCTTATGCTATGAGACCATTCAGAATATCACCTTTCCGACACAGCCCAAGGAATCAACAGCTGTTTTTGGTTTCAGGTCAAAGTTCCCCTCTCTTCCCCCTCTCCTCCTCCCCAAGTACTCAAGCCCAGGGCTGGGAGGTGAAATGTATTGGTAATACGACTTTTTTCTTCAACTTTTTTTTTTTAATTGGAGGAGTTGATATGCATCTGCAGTTCACCCACGCTGTAAATACCTGTATTTAAAACAAAACCAACGTAAAATCTGGGCTGATTAGGTGCAGCATCATAGCTCCAGAAGGAAAGAGTAGCCTGTCATCCTTTGCAGGAGCCATAAGAAAAGCCCTATGCTCTAGCAGAACACTAAAGACTGGTTTCCATAAGAGTCTCCATTAGTAGTTACAGCACTTGATATGTAGACTTGTTTCAGAGCCATGGCCCTCTTTCCTCTGGTGCGGTGTGTCCCATAGAAAATCAGATGTGTATATTGTACAAACTTTGTAAATATGATTTTTTTTTTCTTTTTCTGTTTGGGTTCATATATAACTTTTTCTTTTGTGATGAAGGTTGCTGGCGTTAAAGGGATTAGACTGATTATGGGAGCAGCTAAAGATGAGAGGGGCTCAGTTTTCTGCAACACTAAGCGATGAGAAGTGCTCTGACCTCCGTGAAGAGCAGGCCTCTACAAGCGTCCCTTGTCAGGGTGGGTTTGCTCTGGTGCTAGCAACACCGTTCTGTACCACTCGTATAGAAGAGATCATTCATGGGGCTGCGAGGCCGCAAAATCTGTAGCTCAGCCTGTCGGGAGATGCTCTTCAATTTCCCACTTAGAAACTTCAGGAACTTGCCAAGCTCTGAAGGGGGCCGTGACCCGTGTTCCACCGTGGCGTGAGGGAAATCCCGCAGGCAGCGGTGTTGCTGAGCAGTATATGCGTACGGTGTGGATTTGGGTTTAAGAGAGACGATAGAAAACCAATTTACATGCATAAACTGACAGTTCTGGAGCTTTTTGGGATTGATGTACTTCCTGCAGCATTGTGCATTTTCTGCCCGGAGCGGCCTCTGTACAGACTTGTGAGCAGGTGAGGGCCAACCCCTGTTAATGTCAGAAGCTGCAGAAAGCTGCTTGCCATCTCCTCTGTTTTGGCATGAACTGCTGTCTGTCATTTTGCATTGTACATTGCTGAAAAGTGCTTTCTGGTCAAGTAGTGTTGCTTTAAATTGTGCCCCTCCCAACATGCTTGATGTTTGGCCTGATCTACAGGCAAAAGGAGTGAGACAAATCAAAAACCGTACTCTTCTTAAATTCCCTTTTAGCCTGTTCACCAATGCTGTCGGGAGGCACCTGGATGAATGCGGTCCCTTTTGCTCGGTCGTTTATTGCGTATACAGATGCTGCACTCACACCACGCTTGCTTACTTTTCAGGCGGGAATTAATTGTCTTAATTTCTCCCCATTTTGACCCTTTTTAGTTTTTAAAATTGGATTAAGATTGTTCGGAACTACAAGGCGGACTTGCCCATCCGTTTCCCTGAGGATCATAAATAGAAGCCAGGTGCCTCCTGACAACAACTTTACAAGATGGTTTTTGTGTTCGGGATTTTTTTTTTTTTTTCCTTTTGTCAGCAGTGACTCCATAATTGTAGCAAATGCTGCACTAGAGTACAAACTCAAGAGCTTGGTCACAGACTCTCTGTGAGCCACACAGCTTACATCTGACTGGCAGGTACTAAATGTAAACAATTGTGGGGTGCTTTTTGGGGGTGGGGGGCGGGAGTTTGTGGGTGGTAACTTTGACCAAAAGTGAAATCTTGCTCTTGTACTGCAGCCAGCTTATAATTTTCCAGAGAGACAGAAGAGGGATCATCTTAGTGCAACAAAGACATGAAAAAATGTAAATAAGTTTTGTATCTTAGCGGGGCGTGCGCGTGTAACGAGAACGAGATAGCGACATTGAGTCGGGCGTGCGTGCTCCGCGGGGATTTTGTGGTAGGTTAGCCTGGTGCCATGTGTCGATGGTCCCTCTTGAAGCACAGAACTTTTGAAAGTATTACTTTAAACTTGGCCTCTAATCGAGGACTGGCACTTACCTAAATCTATGGGGGGCATCATTTTTAGGTGGCTTCTTGTAAAGAAGGAAGTGGCCTATTTTTGGTGCTAGTAGGCTATCTCTAACAGATGCGATCTCGCAAACTGAAAGATGCTCCAAATGACTAGGATAATCCTAGGAATTTTTTTTGTTTGTTTGGGTTATTTTACTTTGGGGTTTTTTGTTATTTCTTTTTTCCCTACCCAGGAATAAGGAGCATATATAAACCTTGGATTCCTGAGATTCCTTGCAAGCTCCTGTTTTTGCTGGTCATGTACCAGCCGTTACATTTGTGCATTACTTGGAGCCTTCAGCGACGAGCCCTGGGTCAGATACTTCCCTTGACAAAGATGACGTGAGTGAGAATCTGACGTATTCTGCACGTTTCCCCTCGCAAGTCTGAAAAGATTACTCTGAGGATCTGACCAAACAGAGCTTCACAACTGGGTGAAGTGGCTGTGAGGAGGGTGACACACGTCTTCAGACAGCTTGCTTGGAGAAACTCTAGGCTGGTCTCCGGGCTGGCGCCGTCGGGAGCGTGCTGCGGTTGCTGGAGGACTTTTCCCAATGGGAGGGGGGTGGGTTGGTTTCAAATACGTGTTTCAATTTCCAGAATGAGATGGGAGCATCTTTCCTTTGCCTTCTGTGACTTTTTTTGTGGGTAAGAATAGGGACGCTCAACATGAATTCGTGTTATGTACATGTTGGTATCAAATCATCTCATTCTGATATTTTTTGTTCTTTATTTTTACTTGGGATGGGGGTGGGTGTCTGCTCCAAGGATTTAAAAATGCTTCACATGCTTGTGGTGGTTTTTTTGGTGGTTTTATTTTTTTTTAATTTTTTATTTTTTTCCAAATGCCTGTTAGGACACAAACCAGAGCAGGCGGCTGTCCTGCCTTGGTTTCTGTTCTAGAGGTTATGGAGTTGCCATGCCACATCTCCTGAGCTGCTGTTGCAGTGGTTCTTTTCCTGGTGCTGGACTTTGTGATGCCGCTGGGGCCAAGCGGCTGTTGCTTTCTGAGGACAGAGTGAATTTTGTTCCTGGGAGCTCCAGCCTTATCGCCGCCGTGGTCAGGGTTGGGCAGCAGTAGTCTGTGCAGGGACTTCTCAGATTGCTGTGAACTTCTGGTCCATCTTTTGTGAATCACAGTTTCTCTTCATAATAAACCAGGTCTCTGGACCAAAGAGCATGCATCTGATCTTCAAAATGAGGCTTTGGCAGATTATCCTACAGGTTTTGCTCGGTTTGCTGTTGTGTTGCTAAAATGTCCCTGCGTGGAAGCATTGTTAAATTCTGCTGCAGACAAGTTAGGGAAGGGTAAGGGGGGTGGGGGGAGGGATGGGTTTATTAAGATACAGCCTTGCTGTATTTTAACCAATAATTATGGGGAAGGGGTGTCAGGAGAAGAAAATAGTCACTGTTCCCTTTAATGAAAGAAACTGGAACTTTTATTTCAAGAAAAAGAAAAAGATTTGCAATTCATGTGGAATGTCATAATCCACTGGTCCCTAGTCAAGAGGTTGGTATTCTTACTGTTAACCAGCAAACAATATGAACTAGTCCTTGAAAACATTCAGGGGAGGGAGGGGAAAATTGGCTTTCTGTTAAATCTGTAATTGGCAAACTCTCCAGGGGAGCTCAGATTTTGTTGCGAATGTATTTCTCTGGCTGTGTGTTGCAGCACTGACTCGTGAAGAGCTTCATGAGTTCCGAGTGCAAACAAGATGAATGGTAAAATCCTGATTTTGTTGATTAAACTCAATAAACGCTCCCTGGAACTCTAGCTTTGTCTCGTTTTTTCTTTTAATTGTGCTAGGCGAAAAGCGTGGCGACCTCTTTCTACAGAACCCTGGCACACGTCGGGCACTCGCAAGGGGCTGTGGGGAGAAGCGTCAAGAAGAGGAGCCAGTCTTGATAAACAGAAAAGCTCTCCCCCCTGTGC